TATATATATATGAATTAATTAATACCAGTAAATAAAAAATTATAGTTAAAAAAACAGACTTGACTGGAAACAAGTCCTTGTTGCCAGTGTTGTGAGATAGGTCGGTTAGCTTCGGTTAGCTTCGGAGCTCCACTACACGTTATAATATCTGGACTAGTTCAAGTACCTGATATTATACTTAATTTAAACGGATTCTCTCTTTTTCGAGCTACTTGACAGATATGTGACAGAGATACTGTGTGGGAGATGGTTTAATCAGTGACGTGAGACGTTAAGTTTCTTTGACCCATCAAAATGAATGTGGTCATTTATTAACAGAATCAAAATTTAACATCAAACATTGTACACATGATTATTCTGATTGAACGCAATAACACATTTTAATTAATGAGCTTTACAATGAGAACCATACGGCCATGGTATCTCACCTGCAGCTAATTACAACAGACATTTATGAAAATATCTGGATGATTTACTGGCAAGGTAGAAGAGTTTTAAAGATGGGAAATGAAGGAGTTTAAATGGAGAGAAAATGGATGAGGGAAAAGTGGGTTGATAACGAACGGCACCCTCCATCCGAACCCAGCTCCACCTCGGTACACTTAGGTAGTGAGGGACTCGTTACCTTGTAGAAGATGTCTCCACTGGTACGGAGTTCCATTTAACGCTACCTTTCCAGCGTCTCCGTAGGAACAGCTGCGAATCGTCCGAAGTAGTGACGGTACTTCGTTCAACACCACGCTCACCTCTCAGGTGGACTCACATGAGCTGTGAGCCCGTCAGAGGTTCCACTCAGATGTGGAAGATTCCATAATCCTCCGAGACTCGGAAGAACTTCGGGTCATGTCTGGAACTTCTTGTTCTCTCCAGCAACTTTTCTGTTCGGTTCTGCTCTCCGAACTGAACTGGTTGGAACTAGGAAGTGTCGACATTTAAAGAGTTCTGTTTCCGGTTCATTTGGGAAGTCCTGATTGGCTGAAAGAGCCAATCAGGGGTGTGGTTTTAGTGACGTAAGAGGTCACTAGAAGTCAGAAAAACAGTGAGATGTTTTGGAACAGACAGGAAAATGTTTTTGAAACAGACAGAGAAATGTTTAGGCGAGATGGGAGGAAACAGGTGCCAGCTTCTCTATTTACGTCTGAGAGGATTTAAAAACATGACAGTTCGTTCCAATAAACTTGTTTGCGTTTGTCTCCGACATTTGACCGACATCACAACTTGCTCATTTCAGACAGAAGATCAAGAAAATGAATAATTACTCTGTAACAGACATTAACTAGATTTCTACTTTGAATGAGGATTAAAAATCATTAATACTGTTTCACAGTTGATTTAAAATGAGTAGTTCACTTCAACATTTAAAATGGTTTGAACTAAACACACTTTTGATTATCAAGATATTGTAAAATAGTAATGATAATAAAAAAGAGAGTGTTCTTTCAATTGATCAGTGCAGGATACAATTAGAAAGTCTCTGGATGAGCTTAATTTGTATTTCTGGATACAAATCAATGAAATAACAGTTCTTGTCCCAGGAAGGCCCTCAGGGCCAGATTTTGACCTGAGGCTTGGTTCACTACACCAGAAAGACCCGACTGCAGCAGCTTGGTGGACTAGCTGGTTCAGTAAAATAAATAAGGGAACGGAGCACATGCTAAGATTGTGCACTAGTAAAGTTAAAGAAATAAAACTTTTTTTTTAAATCTTTATGTCCCAAACGATTACTTCAGATTTAACCTAAATCAAAACGCATCATCACTAACTACTGGATCTGGAGGCTCCAGAGACTGGATGGTCTTCTAAAACTTTGTACTGGGAAAAACAAAAAAAAAAAATCTGTCAAAAAAAATAATAATAATTGACATCCTATAGGGGAAAAATGTCTGGGTTTTTTTTTATTTATTAATTATTTAATTTATTGTTTTTGTTTTCAAATATTGCCGTAAAATATGAATTCTCAATTTAAAAAACTGGATTTGTTTATATTTGTATTACTGTGGACAGAAATATTAATAAATGGTATTTTTAAGCAGTGGTATAAGGTTGATTTTTACCTCCAGGAACTGGACCTTCTGAGGGTTAATGTTTTGTTTTTCTAGTTTTGTACTAAGGCTCAAAACTGAATTTTAATATCTTGTAAACCAGTTTTATTGACGTACACAAGTTTTTGACAAACTTAAGGAATAACAGAAAGCCATTTTGTTGTGTCAGTATGAGTCACAATTAGTTGCATAAACTTAAAACATGAAATACAACCAATAAAATAGAGTTTTATGCATTTTTTATTTTTTAATCTATATTTAACCTCAAAACTAAGAAAAAAACATTTTAAATGGAGCGTTTTTAGGATGTTTTACATGAAAATCACTCCAGTTTTCATGGTACCTGATGAAACCTGATGATTTGTTTCTGTTGCGTTCAGGCGACACCTCCAGCACCGTGTCCGCTCTCTGCTACACTGTGGCCAAGTCGGCTCGGGGCAGCAGCCTCCGCGGCCTGGAGTCCGGCTCCGACTACAAGAGTCGCGGCATGACCGCGGACAACCGCGTTGTCTTTGGGCCCGGCGTCAGCATGTCCACCTGCGACGTTAAACTCATCGACGACAGCGAGTACGAGCTGTCCGAGGAGTTCGAGCTGGTGCTGTCAGACGCCTCGGACAACGCCCGCGTGGGAGACGTGACGGTAGCCAAGGTGGTCATCGACGGCCCCAACGACGCGTCAGTGGTCACGCTTGGAAATGCCACCTTTACTTTCAGTGAAGATGCTGGTACGATCCTGGATTCCTGCTCTAATTTTCAATTAGTGTTACTGTTTGAAGACAAACTGTTGCAAAGCGGTGAATGTCGTGATTCTGAGTATTTTTTACTAATTTAAGTTTAAAAACTTTGATTGTTTCCATATTTCTTCTGATTTTACACTCTGTACATACTCACTCTCTAGGCACAATTGAAATACCCATTTTGCGTCGAGGCAGCGATCTCTCCTCTGTGACCTCGGTGTGGTGTGCCACCAGACCTTCAGACCCCCCCTCAGCCAGCCCAGGAGTCGACTACATCCCCAGCTCCAAGAAGGTGGAGTTTAAACCTGGAAAAACTGAAGAGGTACGAACACAGATCCTTTTTAATGTTACTGAAGTCACTTGATCCTGCTCCTCTGGGCTGATGATTCGCTGCTTCAACCCACTAGAACCAGAACTGAACTAGAACAAGAAAGAGCTAATAATGGTTGTCAAATGACTTTTTTGACATTTTGCCGCTCATTAAATTCCAAACTGGTATGTAAAACACTCTGTTTTCCAGACGTGCAGTTTGACCATCGTAGATGACATACAGAACCCGACCATCGAAGGATCCGAGTCCTTTGTCATCTTCCTCAGTTCTCCTCAGGGTGCCGTCCTACAGGAACCCTATGAAGCCAACATAGTCATCACCGACACCTTCCAGGACAGTGCGTACCCAAAACTGAAGTAAATTCAGTTCATGACAAAAGTTCAAATCATAATCATCTTGTGTGTAGTTTCCATGGTCCAGGGGTAGTTTCTAGAAGAAAACTAACAAAAAAAATACATTTCCATGATTGTTAGCAGTAACTGAGTGTATATATATGAAGAGTAGGCCTGTCACGATAACTAATTTTGCTGGGCAATTAATTGTGTCAGAATTATTGCGATAAACGATAATATTGTTTGAAATGTGACAATAATTAGTTATTATTGTCAAATTTAAGAAGAAATGTTGGTTAATTTTTGTGTGTAGTACCATTTTCAACCACCGGATGGCAGTATAAGACTGTTTGAACCGAAGGATGGATAGTGAGAGAGTGAGCAGCGTGCCTCTTTAAGAAAAATGGGAGGGAGGGCCCTTGACGTGACATGGGCTGTCTCTCTTTGGTTCTCAAAATGGCGGACGCTCGGTGTGGTTTGAGCTCTTTAGCATAGCATTTTTCACACAAAGCTTTTAATAAATAATCAGTAAACAAGTTCTCAGCTTCTTTTTGCAGGGAAAAACACTTTTTACACGAAGGCACGGGTTTCAACCGTGAATTTTGGAGCTTCAACAGAACGGAGGTTTATTCCCTGAGGTCAGCTTGTTAGCTTAGCTCCTAGCTTAATTTCTCAGCTTAGCTGCTTTTTATTATCCAAAAACGTGATTTTGGATCGTTAAAATGGATTTTAAAGAGAAAAAAGAAAGGATGGGGACAGTGAAGAGCACCGGAGTCGAGCCTTTTGTCATCCAGTGTCTTCAGAAAGAGAGAGACACGAAGAAACGATAAAGCCGATAAATTAAAATGAGATTGATCATTTTCATTTATCGTGCAATTAATTAATTTATTGTTTATTGCAACAGGCCTAATGGAGAGTTGAGTGACTAAAGACAGCAACAGAGAAAGGTTGTGTGATCAGATCATCCTATAGCAGCAGAACAAAGGGATTACCGGGGAAACCCAAGCCTAACTATAGGATTTATGAAAAGGAAAAGTCTTCAGCCTCGTCTTAAAAGTAAACGGAGCGTCAGCCTCGCAGACAGAAGCTGGAAGTTGGTTCCACAAGACAGGAACCTGATAACTGAAAGCTCTGTATTCCATTCTAGAAACTCTGGAAACCACAAGTAAACCTGCAGTTTGAGAGAGGCTGGCTGGGAGGGAATGTAGGAAACGTCGTACTAGTTTGGATAACGCTGTTAATTTGATTAATCAGACAGCTGAGCAAAACAATAACACACATCAGCTTCTATTGATACATAGAACATACCTATATAAAACAAATGCTAAAGTCTACCATTAAAATGGAGAATCAGCTCTTTGACAGCCATCTTCATCTGTCTTCATCAGTTCCCACCATGCAGTTTGAGAAGAATTCCTACACCGTGAAGGAACGAGACAGTGTCCTTCACATCTCCGTCATCAGGACCGGTGACCTTTCCTTCAAGTCGTCGGTGCGGTGCTTCACTCGAACCATGTCTGCTATGGTGATGGACGACTTCGAGGAGAGGAGGAACACAGATGAGTCACGCATCACTTTCCTTAAAGGAGAGAAGGTGAAACTTTGACCCAAAGCTTGACAAAATTAAATATTTGCAGTTTTGCTCTTTGAGTTGACCCATCAGAAAATTCTGATTTGCCTGTTTGTTGGTTTCCCAGGTGAAAAACTGTACAGTTCATGTCAACGACGACTCTGTTTTTGAGCCTGAGGAGGAGTTCCAGGTGCATCTTGGTACGCCACTCGGTGACCACTGGAGCGGCGCCATGATCGGAGCTAGTGACATCGTCACTATCACCATCACCAATGATGAAGACGGTAAGCAGAGCTGTATGACAAACAGATGTAGATGTAAGTTTGATTGCACAGCTTTTGTATTAGTTTTAATACCATAATAATAAATACTTGGATTGTTATATTGCCTTTCAAGAAATTCTAGGATGCTTTACAAAAGGTAAGAATTTAAAGCAAAATGGAGAGTCTAAAGCCTCGTTGAAGAGGTGAGCTTGAGGTTTGTCTTTATAAATAAATTGGTATGGTATGGTAATTGGTATGGTCTTAAAGTCTGTCCTCGGAGCTATGCTGGTTGGTAGTTGGGACAGAAAGTCATTTGCTGAGGGTTGGAGTTCCCCAGACTGTGTGTTCAGGTGGTGAAGAACTCACAGGTACAGATGGGTCAAAGCACTGAGGAGGATCTTGTTGGTTATACAGGATATGACAGGAGTTCTGGGAGGGATATGTTCTTAAGACCTACATCCCAGTTGCAGTAATCTAGCCTGGTTAAACAAAGGCATGGGTCTAAGTCTTGACTACATTGTTGGTTAGAAATGGCTGGATTCCTGTAATGTTCTTCTTGTGGTGGTGGGGGGGGGGACTGCTTTGGTGACATTCTTGATGTGAGCCTGGAATGAAAGTATGGCCTCTCGAGGAACACCCAGGTTTCAAAGGTCTCGAGACAGTGAGATGGGGCAGCCATCAGTATCAGTATTCCAGTATTGCAGTTTCCTGGAGTAAGACCTTAGTCCACAATCAGAAGTTCTGCTTTGTTACGGTTGAGCTTTATTAAGTTTAACAACATCCAAGTTTAGATTTCTTTCATATTCTTGGAAAGTGATTGAGCTGAGTGGAAGGTTTGGTTCTAAAATACAGTTGTGTATCATCGGCATAGAAGCTGAGGCATAAACTATGGTGACTGATGATCTGATAAGGGGAAGTATTTAAATAGCATTTTAAAAGAGGTCCAAGAACCAAACCTTGAGGCATATTGTGCATAACTGGAGCAGAGGAGGAGCAGGAGCTTCCCATGATGACAAACGGTGTTGGGTTGGTTTAGTTGGTTGTTTATAAAATATTTACAGCTGATTGTTGTAAATACAATTAGTAACATTGTGCTAATCTCTAATCTTCTGTTGCTCCAGCTCCTACAATCGCGTTTGAGCAGGCGTCCTATCAGGTCAGAGAGCCTCCCGGTCCAGATGGTGTAGAGGCACTGAACATCAAGGTGGTCCGCCAGGGAGACCTGGATCGAACGTCCAAGATTCGCTGCAGTACCCGGGACGGATCGGCCCAGTCTGGAGTTGACTACAATCCCAAGAGTCGAGTCCTCAAGTTCACCCCTGGTCAGTGCAGAGCAGCTTTTATATGAAAAAATATATTTTTTATGACTCAGGAGAGCCGTACGGAAACTTGACAGCAAGTAATTATTTTTATTATATTTCAAAGGAATGGACCACATCCTGTTCAAAGTGGAGATTTTATCCAACGAGGACAGGGAATGGCATGAATCCTTCTCTGTGGTTCTCGGTCCTGACGACCCAGTGGAGGCGGTGCTCGGGGAGATCACCATGGCAACAGTGACCATTCTGGACCAGGAGGCTGCAGGCAGTCTCATCCTCCCCTCCACACCAATTGTAAGGAGACATGACAACAAATAAAGAGGCTCCATGTTTTCAGCGTTGTGGTGCTTTAAAAAACTTCTTGTTGCTGTGTCTTATCTTCACCAAACATCCTGCCCCTTCAGGTGGTCTCCCTGGCCGACTATGACCATGTCCAGGAAGTGACTAAAGAGGGTAGTAAGAAATCTCCCTCCCCAGGCTACCCTCTGGTGTGCGTCACCCCCTGTGACCCCCACTACCCCAAGTACTCAGTGATGAAGGAGCACTGCGAGGAGGCTGGAATCAACCAGACCCAGGTTCATTTCTCCTGGGAGGTGGCGGCGCCCACCGACTCCAACGGTGCCCGGTCCCCGTTTGAGACCGTGACGGACACCACCCCGTACACCAGCGTCAACCATATGGTGAGATGATCCAGTTTACTTTGTTGGCACCGGTTCTTACACACAGCTGCTTGAGTGAGGTTTAATTTTTACTCTGCGTGTGTCCCAGAAAGACTTCCATCAAAGAGGGGGGGACATTGGTGTGAGGTTACGATAGTGACTCTATGGATCAATCGATCTTTGCTTCCTAAATATCAGAACAGCTGATTCGTGGTCCGATTTTAATGGCTGTAATGTGCTTTTATTTTGTTAGGTAGCAAATTTAGGGTGGTATTAAATTCTTACCCTAGTAGTTCCAAAACTGGCAGTGGGAGGCACATTGAATGCTTTGCCACTTGATGAATGTGGTCAGAAAGTGCAAGAACAACAGACTCGCGGACTGAAAACTAAATAACGTCTCCGGTGTCCCTGTCCTCTGTCCCTCTCAGGTACTGGACAGCGTTTATTTCAGCCGTCGGTTCCACGTTCGCTGTGTGGCTCAGGCTCGGGACAAAGCCGGTCACCTTGGGACGCCGCTGAGGAGCAACATCGTAACCATCGGCACTGAGGGCTCCATTTGCCACACGCCTGTTACCACGGGAACCGCCAGAGGCTTCCAGGCCCAGTCCTTTGTTGCCACGCTGAGATACTTGGACGTCAAGCACAAAGAACACCCCAACCGGTGGGTGGTTACAGAAGAACAGTTGCTGGATCACATTTTGAGAGGGTTTTTTTTTTTTTGTTAATATCTATTCCACTTGTGTCTAGCATCCATATCTCAGTGCAGATTCCTCATCAGGACGGTATGCTCCCTTTGGTGTCCACCATGCCGCTGCACAACCTGCACTTCCTGCTGTCAGAGTCCATCTACAGGCAGCAGCACGTCTGCTCTAACCTGGTCACCATCAAGGAGCTGCAGGGCCTCTCCGGTCAGTTATTTCATTAAGAGATTTACTTTCTGTTACTTTTAAGCTGATGTACAATAATCCATCCATCCATCATCTTTACCCACTTCTTCCTTTTCGGGTCGTGTGGTTCAACAATCCACCAGAAATAATCTAACCGGCCACTGTTGTGGTTAGACAGTACAAACAAAATTTTTAGGGCTTTTTGAGGCAGAGCTGAAGCACAGCAGAGAGGGATGTAGAGGAAAATGCATACTGAATCTATTCAAATCCACCAGTGTTGTATTTAAGTCCATCAACTTTAAATGTTTCCAAATGTGACACTTTCATTTTCAGATGCCGGCTTCCTGGACGACGTGGCCTACGACAGCATCTCTCTCGGACCAGGTTACGACCGCCCATACCAGTTCAACTCCAATGTCCGCGAGACTAAAAGCATCCAGTTCTACAAACACCTGAACCTGAAAAGCTGCATCTGGACCTTTGACGCCTTCTACGACATGACTGAGCTCATTGACGTCTGCGGGGGCTCCGTCACTGCAGATTTTCAGGTGTGTGAGTCAGTCCTGTACTTTATAACCATTTGAGAAACAGTAGAATTAAAGCATGTTGTTGTTTTTTAGGTTCGGGACTCTGCTCAGTCCTTCCTGACGGTGCAGGTCCCTCTCTATGTGTCCTACATCTACGTGACTGCTCCGAGAGGCTGGGCGTCTCTGGAGCATCACACCGAGATGGAGTTCTCGTTCTTCTACGATACGGTGCTCTGGAGAACAGGTCAGGACAAAAACACAAACCTGAGCAGCTTGATGAGCACATCAAAGAACCGTTTCTACATTTATTTGTTTTCTGTAGATACTCTTCATTCAAAACAAACAAACGATCAAAAAACAAATACTTTTTTGTGAATACTTGAAGTCAACGGTGAGCGCTAAACGACTTTGCTAAAATCTGCTGAAACCGCTAAAACAGAATTTTTACAGACAAAAGAAGCAGAACACCATCAAAACAGCAAAAGTCTTGTAAGAAGTCAAATGTAGCAACATCTTTACTAAAAGCTCCAAAATTTAGAAGTAGCAAATTGCTTGCTAAAAGCCAAAAGTAGCAAAACATTCTTTCCAATCAGGAAAGGTTATCTAAAATCTAAAATTAACAAAAGGCTAGGATTATTAGAAGCTAGAAGCTGAAAGTATCGAAATGCTGCCTAACATCTTAAAGTAGCAAAGGCTAGTAAAAGTAACAAAAAGCTAATTCAAAGCTAAAAGGAGCAAAAGGCTAGCCTAATGTATAAAATGTCTTGCTAAAACTAGAGAAATACTACCTAAAAGATAAACATAACAAATAAGTTGATGCAAAAAGTAGTGAAAGGTTAGCTAAGAGTATAAAATGTTTAGCTAGAAGCTAAAATTAGGGAAATGCTTTCTAAAAGTAGCCACGGCTTTTGCTTTTAGCTAGCCAGTTGCTACTCCATGCCAACTAATATTTTATAGTACTAAAGGCTAGCTGTGTTATAGCCAAAGGCTAACTAAATGCTAGAAGTAGTGAAATGCTAGCTAAAAGTAACAAAGGCTTGTTTAAAGCTAAATGTAGTGACATGCTAACTAAAATCTTAAATTAACAAAAGATCATTTTAAATATCTAAACGTTAATTAAAAGTTATAAAAACTTAGCTAAAAATATTGTCTATTTGAAAGCTAGATGTAGCAAAGTCTAACTAATAGTAGTGAAATGCAGACTATAATTTTAAAATAGCAATGGCTCGCTAAAAGTATGAAAGGTCAAGCTAGAAGCTAAAAGTAGTAAAGTTCTTGCTAACTGCTTAAAGCAGCATAAGAAGCTAAATTATTGCATTTTTAAGAGAACATTTTTGAAGCAGTTGGAGATCTCCGTGTCTCTTTGAGTTAAATTTCTTTAAATAAATTAAACCTTTTTAAAAGTATGACGTTTGCAAAAGTCAATATTTGTAGTGCCCATCTCCTGATGAGTTAAACGTTTTGATATATGAAATGGCACAAAGTGTACAAAAAAAAAAAACATGAAAACAACGGCGTGAATGCTGAGTCAGAATTCTTGCCACAACCCGACACGTTTGATGCTCTGAGTTAATCATTTAATCAATTTGATTTAAAATGGGTAAAATTTTAGTAAAGATTCTTCCGATCTTGGCCATTTTTTCAGTCGTAAGTGCTACAGTTGAACGTTTTTCATGATTGAATTTTCATTTAATTCTGTTTCAGAGTATCTAATGTGTCGGCTTTAATAAAATGTCAGTTTGATCCTTTGCGTTTATCTTTATCCGACTCCTGCTGTCTTCTTCTGATGTTTTTACCTCTGCAGGTATCCAGACGGACAGCGTCCTCTCAGCCAGGCTGCAGATCATCAGGATTTTCATCAGAGAGGACGGACGGCTGGTGATCGAGTTTAAAACTCACGCCAAGTTCAGAGGTCAGCTAATAAATCACTGAACTGGACGAGCGTTTGTTCCTCTAACAGGTCCCGTAGGGAGCGGCAGAAAACCGGTCCTAAAATTTACATTTTGCTCCGTCTTCACCTCCAGGTCAGTTTGTTCCTGAACACCACACCCTGCCGGGTCACAAGTCCCGGTTGCTGGCGCCGGACCACCTGGGAGGTGTGGAGTTCAACCTGCAGCTGCTGTGGAGCGCTCAGACCTTCGACTCGCCGTACCAACTGTGGCGGGCCACCAGCTCCTACAGCAGGTCAGCAGATCCACGCAGAACCCTCCTGAACACAACATTTTGTGACACGTATTGAACAGGGAGTTGTTTGGTGGGAAAATATGATTGTGTCTGTTGGATGTACCAGATAAACTGCGTCTAGTCCTTAAAGGAGCCAGAATCTGTCCTTTCGATGTCCATCCTGAGGTTGACAGCGTGCGTTTGGTTATTCTTTGGTGGTAAATATGCGCTCGTCAACAGGAAGGACTACTCTGGAGAGTACACGGTCTTTCTGATCCCCTGCACCGTGCAGCCCACCCAGCCCTGGATGGACCCCGGGGACAAACCTCTGTCCTGCACGGCTCACGCTCCAGAGAGGTACGGGTCACAGCTGCACAGAAGCACAAGACCAAGGAACGCAGAGTTGCAACGAGTCACTGGAGTCCTGATCTGCTCTTTGACAGGTTTCTGGTGCCGATCGCCTTCCAGCAGACCAACAGACCCGTTCCTGTCGTTTACTCCCTGAACACGGAGTTCCAGCTGTGCAACAACGAGAAGGTCTTCCTGCTGGACCCGGCCAGCGCTGATGTCTCCATGGCTGAGATGGACTACAAGGGAGCCTTCTCCATGGGTAGGACGGGAGTATGAGAAGATATTTAAAGAAATAATTTAGTTTCTTTACTGGGTTGAAACCCTTTGGTCTTTTTCTAAATGATAAATTATTCAATCTTCCTTCGATTTAAGTTACATTTTTTAAGTTTAGCCAGCCTAACCTTAAAAGCGTATCAATAGCATGTCGTCGCCCCCTCCAGGCCAGACGCTGTACGGCAGGGTGCTGTGGAGCCCGGAGCAGAACCTGAACGCAGCCTACAGGTTGCAGCTGGAGAAGGTCTACCTGTGCACTGGCAGGGACGGCTACGTTCCTTTCTTCGACCCCACGGGGACGCTGTACAACGAAGGGCTGCAGTACGGCTGCATCCAGCCCAACAAACACCTCAAACATCGCTTCCTGCTGCTGGTAAAGACCAACACAGAAACTTGAGCTGCACTCCTTCATGGATTGTCATTTAGTTCTGTGGTCCGTGTTTTAACAAAAGGTTTTTTTAAACAGATTATTTTATCATCAATCTCACCAACTGATTATGTCCAGTTCCTCTGTTGTCATTTCTGGACACCAATATTGATTTTTGTTTGTTTCCCTAAAAGCTTAAAGTAGTAAAATGTTATCTAAAAGTACTGAAAAACTAGCTTGAAGTAGTGAAACACTAGCTAAAAGTAGTGAAACATTAGGTAAATGTAATGAAACACTAGCTAAAAGTACTGAAACACTAATTAAAAGTACTGAAAAACTAGCTAAAAGTACTGACACACTAGCTAAAAGTGACAAAAACTAGCTGAAAGCAGTGAAACACTAGCTAAAAGTAGCATAGGCTAGCTAATTGCTCCGCTCTAGGTGGCTGCATGTTGGAGCAGCTGTTACTTTCATTCTGAGATTTTGCTTTTGGAAACTTTAATTCCTCTTTTTCTGGATGTAAATCATATTTTTTGGATGATTGTTTCCTCTGGTATCAGATGCTGTGCAGCTGGAAGGATTTTTACTGAAACTTTTCAAGTTTTGGACATTTGTTATGATGTGTAACCATGGCAACAAGGCTGTTTTCTACAACAACAGCAGCTGATTAACATCTCAAAAGCTCAAATAATATCTCAACTATGGCCCCAACTCTCAAATGAGTTGAAAAGGATGTTCTGTGGACGCATTCTCATCTACCTGCCAGCTGTGCTCGAGTGCCTGATCAGTGAGATCCTGGATCTAGCAGGAAACATGGGTCATGACAGCGGAAGGACAGGATCGTCCCTCAGCACCTACAATCGGCTATCCACAGCTATGAGGAGCTCGGCAGACTGCTGGGAGGAGTGGCCATCGCTCTGGGAGGAGTTCTGCCCAGCATTCAAGCGGTCCTACAGTCCAGGGGAACTGAGAGGTCAGCCGAGTCTGGGTGGACGGATCAGACGGCATCTGCAGCCAGTTTCTTAGGATCCACTGTGGGATGGACCTTTACAAGAGATCCTTCCTGTCTACAGCCATCAGCATCTATAACATCTCTTAATGAAATGAGGATAACGAGTTACAACAACAAAATAATTTCCCTCTAGGATTAATAAAGTATTTTTGAATTGAATTGAATTAAAATAGAAAAACTAGCAAAAATTAGTGAAACACTAGCTAAAAGTACCAAAAGGCTAGCCTGAAAACTAAAGTTTTAATGCACTTCTAAAGAGAGGAATCCCCAGATCTAAGTATGAAAAGGTTAGCAATTTTTGCATCATTGTTATTTAGAAGCTATCAAATTATTTATCGTGCATCAGTAGTGTGACAATTTGACTTTAGATCCAATCCAGACGTTTACAAGAATAAAGTTCATGACCTTTGTTAAAACCACTCCTCTGCCCTGTTTGTCACTGGGAGGCCACAGGAGCCTTCAGAGGTCGTTATAAATTAATTAGTCTGTCTTATTTGATAGAATCACGTGTAACTTTTAAAGGAGCTGCTCTGAATCCCAGCGTCACTTCAGATTAAAGCTTCAGCTGCGACTGACAGACTGGACTGAAGGTTCTCTCATACAGACGTGGGACACATTTAAAGATACAGATGTATAAAGATGTTGTTACTTAAGCAGACTAGTTTCAGTCTTTGAATTATTATTTTACTTTTTTTAAACCCCTAGGAATATTGTATTTATATATAATATTTTAAACCACCATATTGTTGTGGTGGTTGTCAATGAAAAGAGGTGATGGTTAAACTCAGGAACCTTAATACCGTCAGGTCGGACGCCATGAGAGAACGTTCTTCAGTTCAGTCTCCTTCTGCCGTTCCACTAAAGCAGAAGTCTGCAATGTGCTGCTCTATAGTTCCTCATCTTTGACTCTTTGTTCCCTCGTCTCCAACTCTTTGGACCCTTGTCTTTGTTTCTTTGTTCCCTCGTCTCAGACTCTTTGTTCCCTCGTCTCCGACTCGTTGGACCCTCGTCTTGGACTGTTTGGACTCTCATCTCTGACTCTTTGGACCCTCGTCTTGGACTCTTTGGACTCTCATCTCTGACTCTTTGGACTCTCATCTCTGACTCTTTGGTCCCTCATCTCTGACTCTTTGGTCCCTCATCTCTGACTCTTTGGTCCCTCAACTGCCGCTCTTTTGTCCCACGACACATTTAGACTCATTACTGATTTATGATCAGAGGTGCATAATTTATTTTTTTAATCAAAAAGTTTGCAGACCCCTGAACTGAACGGTCTCTTGTGCCCCGTCCTGTCCCAGCAGCTCCATCTAGTGACAAGAAAAAGCAACAGAACAGAAACGTCAGAACACAACAAGCGTCATGTTTACAATAAACTAAAGTACAAATACACACTGATCAGCAGGTGGAGGAACAGTTTGGTTCATACCTGATGTTGTGCTTGAAGGTGTTTGTTTCCTCTTTCTTCTTCTTTTATTCTCTACTGTTTACAAACTTTACTTTTCATTTTACCTTATAGAATAAACAAACAAACCCTGGTCTTTTTATATTTCTATATTAACATTTTGAAGTTGTTTGTTTGTTCCAGAACAAAATGTTTAAAAGCAGTTCGAGTCTGAACCCAGTCCAGATGAGAAGTCTTGTGCTCTCAGCTATGATTAGTTTTTATTGTTTCGTGTTGCAGGATCGTAAACAGCCGGATGTTTGCGACGAGTTTTTCCACGATGTTCCCTTCGAGGCGGATTTTGCCTCAGACGTCCCGGAGCTGCAGGCCATGAGGGCCATGCCGGGTGTCGACGGCTTCACGATGAAGGTGGACGCCCTCTACAAGGTGCGAGGAACCACTTCCTGCTCACTGAGGAGCAATCAGCTGAACGTTGCTTCCTGTTGTCTCTTTAAGTCTTTTTACTTTAAATTAAGTACCTTCTTACCTGTTTGTGATTGACAGGTGGAGGCGGGCCATCAGTGGTACTTGCAGGTGATCTATGTGATCAGCCCGGAGTCGCGCTCCGGCCCCAGAATCCAGCGCTCAGCGACGTATCAGCTGAACCGCTCCAGACGCGACCTTGTGGACCGCAGCGGGCGGCTGACGCTCGACGAGTCGCTCATCTACGACAACGAGGGCGACCAGGTGAAGAACGGCACCAACATGAAGTCGCTACACCTGGAGGTCAGCCCCTCCCCTTCCTTCAACGCCCACGTGGGCAGCTCCGTGGGCGGGGGCGTGGCCGCCATCACCCTGCTGGGCCTGGTCCTGCTGGCCTCCTGCCTCCTGTTCCGTCGCTGCAGGCTGTCGGCCTCCAGGAAGAAGAATTCCCCGAAAATCTACGAGGAGTACCCGCTGAACACCAAGGTGGAGGTGTGCCTGGACAAGTGCATGGAGAAGAACTTCAGCAGCAAGCACTGCACGGTGAGGAACGTCAACATCAACCGGAACCAGGAGTCCAACGGCAAGCTGAAGCAGGTCAACCTGGAGGTGAAGCTCCACAACAACCTCTGTGACGGCACCGAGGTCTGAGAAGAGGCAGCACCGACGCGCAAGGAGCAAAATCAAAGAGCAGAATTTTATAAAAGCAAATATTTGTATTTAACGGAACCGGACATTTGTTAATGTATTTTTATACCGCTTTGGATAAAAGGGAAGAGTGACACGCTGGCAACCGGGCTACCTCAGGAACCCACAAACATCTCGGCTGAGTCAATCAGCCGAAACACCCGCATCTGAGCTGTCAAACTTTAAGCTTTTACTTGACACTTGTGAACGTTTCAGCACCGGAGCGGAGTTTTGTAGTTCGACGCTGGTTTTAGCCTCCTGCGTCGAGTCCTTTCACTGCTTCCAGTGTCTCGGCTGCGCGAGCTCCTTCAGTTACCGCTCACTGGTCCTGCACATAAACTGAAGCTGTTCCAGGAAGCTCTGAGTTCCCTGATCCTGAGTTTAGGGGAACTCTTAGTTTGTCACCATGGTAACAGACCCAGGAGTAAACCTGAGTTTCCATCGGTCTCCTGAAACAAACCGTCCAACGTGAACTGGTCGTTTTTAACCGATCCGACTGAAACTAAAGAGGAACTATTGAATGAAACCGAACGTCCAGGGAGGACTTTTTCTCTAATTCAACATTTTAAATAATACGTTCTTTAAGACGACTGCAGCCCGCCTCAAGTCTTTAATATTTAAAGACTCGTAATCTTTACAGTTAACAACTTGTTGATATGAATTAAATCCTATTCTGGGGTTTAAAACTGGTTTTTAGAAACTGACCGACTGTTTCTGGCTGCGGTTGCCATGGTGACTCGAGATATCAGAGTACCGCCGATGATGGTTCATATTCGGGGTTGAGTTACGTTTGATCCCGTCTGTACTTTCTTGAACAGAAAACTCAAAGCCCCCCCCCCCAAGGTCAGTAAACTCAGAGTTTGTGGACAGTCTCAGTTGTTTTAAGCCGCCCTGGCAGCTGCTGTGAAAGAGATAAAACACACACGACGTTCTGCTGCCGCCCGAGGCTGAGCAGCAACACCCGAACGATGCCTTCAAGTGCAATTATGTCACGTTTAGTTAATCCCTCCTGTCGTGAAAGAGCCTTACTCAGACCTGGACCTGGTGCTTTTATTGTGTTGATGCAGTTTTTTTAACATTAAGTGCCATTCAGTGTTTTTTTTCCTCATGAAAATTCAAAACAAATCATCCAAAGTCGACTCTGAGAGTCGGCTCCAACCGCGCAGCAAAGGTTTCCATCCTGACTGCTTCAGCCTTACTACTGTTGTATTTTATTTTTTAAAGAAAAATTATGTGTTTTCTAAGAGACGCGTGTCTGCCTAACTTTGTTCTCCCCAAAGACTCATAATCGTCTCCGATGTTTTTAGTTTATTTATGGATTACGTTACTCTCAGCTACTGATGTACCCGCCATGTTAAAGTTACTGTAATTTAATTTTTAAGGTGTATGACACTGGTTAAAGAGCAATGAGATTAAAAAAAAAACTGTCTTGTATTTATATTTTTACTCATCCATCCGTTGGTTTTTTTCCAACTGTGTGCCTCAAACCGCAAGAGAATGGACAAATGTGGGAAATAAATTAATATTTTTGGTGCTATTGATTTTTGGAGAGAGACAAAATAATACTATTCATATGATGCCTGTATTTGGTGCCTTTTTTAGTAATAAAACAATTTAAATAATGAAAACGTGACCTGGATTTGTTCATTTTTGTCTCGTTGTGCTCCTCTCTCGTCTGTAAAGAGAAACGCATTCAGTTTGTTTGTTTTTACTTATGTTATATTTTCAGAGTTTAAAATCAGAGTTAAAAACCGTGTAGAAGAAAAGGCTGCAGTGTCCGAGTCGTCCCTGAAGGCATCACCTGATAGAACAGGTGTGACCAGCTGGCTTTTGACAGGTTTCCAGTAGAGCTGAAGGTGTGACCGAAAACGTTTGTTTTTCTAAAGCAAGGTGAGTTTTTTCTGTTTTCCGTTCATTAATCTGATTTCAACAGACTTTTGTTTTTAAAAAGAAGAAACGACTTCCTGTTTCAGTTCTGCTTGAACAGAATCTTCTCGCGTTCACGAGTTCAGTGCATTTCTCTGTTGGAACTGGACCTAAAGGTGTAATTCCAGTTCAGGTATCTGGGCGTCTTATTCCTGAGTGATGGGGTGAACTGGCGGATCAGGGTCCTCAGTAATGAGGGTGTTGCTTCGGTCATTCATGGTAAACGAAAGTTGAGTTGACAGACAAAGCTCTGGGTTTACTGGTCTGTCTACATTCCAACCTTCACCAGTGGTCATGAGATTTGGATCATGGCTGAAAGAACCAGATCCTGGATTCAAGCAGCTGAAATGAACTTCCCTTGCTGGCTCAGCATTAGAGGGCGAGTTTCAAATGGAGCTTCTGCATCGAAAGGAGTCAGTTGAGATGGTCCATCTGATCAGGATCCTCCATCAGAATAAGCTTTATCATCATTGCACTGAGATACAACGAGGACGTGTGCATGCAGTCGTCCAGAAGATGGACGGATAGATGAAGCTTTTGTCCTTGGTTACCCACGACCCAGTGGTGTAGTGTACGTGATACTCGGCTACACGGAGTACACCCACTAGAAAAAGCTTAAACATTTCAGTATACCCACTTAAAAGTGCCCAATGATACATATCATTAGCACGTGTCATTGATATGTTAAACGCTTCCGGAACAATCCGTATGCTTTGCTTTGATACCGTTTTATAAATTCTGTAACAGGTTTTTAATACAAAGCCAGCTGTTGTACAAAGTTTTGTTGTTCATTTATTCAAATAAGCATCAGAAAAATTTGGAAATGTTCTATATGACATCAAAACAAACTGACAGTTGCATTGTACTAACCTGTGTACTTTGGTTTCTAAGCACAGTAAACCCACTGCAAAAATGTAGACTACACCACATGAGCCAGGAGAAATTTGATAGTCGACCCGTTCCGAGGCCGTCGGGAGTCGGATTCAGATCAGCTTTGATTGTTGGTTTTCTTCAGGCAGACAGATTTTTGGCTTCAGCCTCGAGTCCATCTGGACGTCCTGGTTCCAAAATGGCCTAACTGTGGGAATCCATTCCACTGATCCATGCGATGAGTCTCCCTCAAGGTCGAACCCACCGCGCTGACGAGTCCCAGAAGCCGCAGGTCTACGATTCTCATAAATCGCCTCCACCTTACGGTTTAGCTCGTAAACCAGTTGATTTAGAGTTCCCACAGCGCGGACCAGACCTCCACACTGACCCGGAAGCTTTGCCACGGCTGAAACTGCTCCCGACGTCTTCTTCAAAAGTCGATAAAACAGAGCCCCGCCGAGGCCAAAAAGCAGAGACCCTGCGATCATGAATCCAAACATGTAAACGTCTTCAACATCCTCCTGAGACAGGACTGAGAAGCTGCCACACGCCCCACCACTCCATGACGTACCCCACAGCGTGCGTCTCAGCTGGGCACGCCGGTTCTCCAGGACCTTGTCGCTTTGTTGAAAAAATCTTATCGATAGAGTTGAACGCCCACGATACCAGATCCATAATCTTCTTCATTTACGTTCGGGAGATGAGACCCAGGCGCTTCAGACACACAGAGAGCAGAGCAGGAGGAAGGAGAAACGGGAGGAAAGCCAGAAGCAGCCACCTCGATCGAGAGCCAGGGAGTTTTCTGGGTCCGGGACAGAGCCAGGACTCGCTGGAGTTCTATCCTCTCTGACCCAGGAGGAGAAGTAGAGTGTCCCTGGGCAGATCTCCTGGATCTGTTGCCTCTGCAACCTGAGCATGGAGAAACATTAGAAGATGGAGATGCAGGAGAACGTTGATGTTTTTTTAAATTATTATTAAATTAAGTAGAACTGCTTCAGTTTTGTTCTAAATGTAAAATCTGATGTCAGTTTTCAGCCATTTAAAAGTCGTGAGTGTTTAATTCTATGAATGTTTGTTTCATAGGGGAAGTATCTTCACCATGGCAACCTTATGGGTAAAACATTTTCTTTTGGTGGTATTAATACACAACGTTAGAGGCTGAGATAGTCTGGGCATGAGCAGAGGAATAATGATATAAAATAAAAAGATGTTGAACTGCAAATAGAAGAAGAATGGTGTTTGTGATGATGATGTCAAACTGTTTCACGTTCTAAACGTCAGTCTGATGATTTCAGGACGACTTGGAGAGCCTCGTGGATTCTCCTTCGTCTTTTTCTGCACAAGTAGGTCACGTTCCTGAAACCAGACATGCGGGGTGTTTTCTGCAGGTGACGCATTAAATGTACATAAACCACCGTTTGTTTGAATTCACCTGTTCCGTAGAGTGGAGACAGAGGAACCATCAAGCCTAAAGGAAACTTTAGCGCAGTGGACGATGCTGCGGCCATGAAGAAGGCCATCGATGGATTTGGTACAAAGTTCAGTTTTTATAACTTGAAAGTTATAACGTTTGATTGATTGAATCCCAGAAAAATAACATTTTACGTTACTTCAATACATAAAAACACCCAGTCATCCTAAACTGAAAGACACATTGACACGGTGACATTAAGAGCATCACTGACAGAGGTCTAAAGGAGAAACTCCAAACATCTGTTCATGAGTTGAACTGCAGAAGAAAAAATAGTTGATAAAAGGTAAGAAATTAAACAAAACGGTGCTAAGAACAATCTAACCAAGTGTTTATAAAGATTGTTGTTTTAAATGGGCAAGTCAAAGTCCGGATGCTAATTAAAAACTGCTTTTTTTTGTTCAAATAGTTTATCTTGAATATAAATATAAATTCTTGCTTTATTAAACTGCAGTTTTAATATTTATCTTGTTTTTATGGAAAAGCTAGTTAATCAAGCAAACTAGGCTTAAGTTAACTAAAATTGACCATTTTTTTTATTATTTTGTTTCCTTTAAGTAGTTTATTTATTTATTTTTAGGATTTATGTTTCTTAGGAGTCAGTGTTTGTATATTTTGATAAAAAGAACAAGCGACTAAAGGAATCAAGTTTGAAATCCAAGATGGCGGCTCCAGTCACTGACAACCAGCTGTGCATTCTGCATGATTTGATCAGAAATCCTCATGATTTTATATATTTTAAACCAAAATAAATTTAATTCATATTCTTTTCAATGTGAGGTGATAAAATGCTAAAAAGAAAGCGCGCACATTTATCTAAAACAGCCTTTTCTGCTGTAAATCACAACCTGAATAAAAATCACTTTAGTTCCATGTAAACCACGTTAGCATGGCTAATGTCTTTTTACAATGTTTTCAGGAACAAATGAGAAGGTCCTGATGGACGTCTTGACTCAAAGAAGCAACGCTCAGAGGCAGCTCGTCTGCAAAGCTTATCAAGAAGCGACTGGCAGAGTAAGAAATTATTAACAATGGGTCGTTGGTCTTGTTTTTCTGACAGTAGTCGTCTCGTTGTCTTCGTTCTGGAGTTTAAAGTTTGTAAACTGGGTCTTGTTGGTTAATAAAACATCAAACGGGTTTAAACTAGTTTTTTTTTTTTTACTCCTCTCTAAAAAAGAGGAATTAAATAAACAAAGTGCTTCAACCACGTGACTGAAAATACAAAGTTCCAGCCGAGACACAATGGCATCACTTCCCATGATGCCTTTCTGCAAACAGAACCCAACAAATAAGATAATTAAATCACGACTTTACCAAATTATTTAAAAAGTTAGATTCGTAAAGAGGGCAGCACGGTGGTGCAACTGGTAGAGCTGCTGCCTCTCAGCGAGCAGGTCCCTGGTTCAAATCCCGGTCCGGGGGCCTTTCTGGGTGGAGTTTGCATGTTCTCTCCGTGCATGCGTGGGTTTTCTCCGTGTGCTCCGGTTTCCTCCCACAGACCAAAAACATGCATGTTAGACTGATTGGTGACTAAATTGTCCCTAGGTGTGAGTGAGAGAGTGAATGGTTGTTTGTCTCTATGTGTCCCTGTGATGGACTGGAGACCTGTCCAGGGTGTCCCCCGCCCCTCGCAGTGATTGCTGGACATGGACACCAGCGACCCCCGTGACCCAAAATGGAAGAAGCGGGTAAAAGATGATGGATTTGTAAAGAGAGAAATAATTTTAGACAGGTGCTTTTTGAAGCCACTAGTGTTTATTTAAACTTAACCTCTAGAAATTAAAGTAGTTTAAGATTTGAGAAACTTCAGGTAAACTACAGGATCGTCTGCGTACAGAGACGCCAGGTCCGAGTCGCTCTTTAAATCCTGTTCTTCAGGACGAAGCTGCAGCTTGTGTTTGCAGGGTGTGGCTGCACCAACAGTCCTGCTCTGTTTCCTCCACAGACCCTGGACGAAGACCTAAAGGGGGACACGCATGGAGACTTTGAAAACCTGCTGGTGGCGCTCATCACTCCTCCTGCGGCGTACGACTGCCACGAAGTGATGCGGGCCATGAAAGTCCGGTTCCTCTCGGGATAGCTCCCATAAACATGTCATGATGTTTTTAATCATTCTGACATCCAGAACCGTAACCTAAAAGTGTTTTGTGTTGTTTTGTTTTGTTGCAGGGAGCCGGCACAAAGGAGCACATCCTGGCTGAGATCTTTGCCTCCAGGTCCAACCAGCAGATCAAAGCTCTGCAGAGTGAATATTTACGAGGTTAAAAACGCTCCAACACGAGTCAACAGGCTCCGTTTTTAGGCATCGACTGAGAAAACATTTTGAAATGCTAAAATAATAATTTTTTTGTGTTTTCAGTGTTTGTTTCTGACGATTTAATCAAGTCCAGAATTTGATGCCAACAAGATATAAATTAAATTAAAGTGCCGTTCTTTGAGAGAATCGGCTGTGCTCGAGCTCATGGTCTGTGTTGGAGATGACTCTCAGCTACCACCACATTAGCTCATCCTTTAGTTTTCAGAGTTGCAGCCACTTTCTTGTTTATCTGTGGCGGACATCTTGATTGTGTTGCCAAAAAAGCCAAGGTTCCTGAAACATTTTGCTAACAGGCACAAAGATCATCACCCGAGCTAAAATCACGAGCTAAAATTAAAGTAGTGTATGAAAACGGGTTCAGCTGGTTGGATTAAAGGGTGTCGACGTGATTTCAGTCAGACGGTTCATCGCTCGGTGATGACGACAAACGGTTTTAACGCTACAAACGTTCAGCTGATGTTTCAGGTGGTAGTAGCTGAGAGTCATTCACAACAGACTCGAAGAGCTTTGACCCATTCAGCTCCAAAAAGATCAAATACGACTTTTGTGTTTCACAGATGTTTTATTTGTTTACGTTTCAGTACCTTGTTTGTTTGTTTGTTTTTCCTCAGAAACAAAGAAGGAGTTGAGTCTTGAACTGAAAAGGGAACTTTCTGGAAATGTTTCCAAAGCGCTGCTGCTCTTGGCTGAGGTCTGTGAAAAAAGACGAATAAGAAAATTAATTTTCTGTAGAACTTTAAAACGAACGAGATGAAAATGATCCGATTTTACAAACCGGGAGTCAAACCCACGTTCTTCTGGACGTTTTTATTTATTTTGAGCTGTTTTGACAGTTTGTTTATTCAAACCTTCGGCTCGATTTTAAATATTCTACTTCGACTTTTACTTTTTATAACTTTTACAGTTTTTAAATTATTTAAATTTATTTACAAAACATTTATCCAAAATCTTCATTTGATTCTGATTCATTCTTAATGTCCCTTTTTAGCTATGGTTGTGCTAGTTTTAGCTTTTAGGTTTTGCTAACTTAAGCTTTACACAACAAGGATGCTCATTTGTGCTTCTAGTTATTTTATTAATACGTCCTTTTAGCTAAGTTTTGCTCATTTATTTTTAGCTCCTGTTTTGCTAATTTGAACCTTGGGCTACTATTTTGCTAATTCAAGTTTTAAGCTACATTTTGCTAATCAGTGCTTTTAGCTGTGTTTGGCTAATTTTAGCTTTTAGCTACAGTTTTGCTAGTTCAAGCTTTTAGCTATGTTTTATTTGTGCTTTTAGCTATTTTTAGCTTTTAGCTTGTGTTTTTGCTAATTTTTTCAACAATTTCTTGCAGGATCAATAAAATATCTCATCTCTTATGTCTCTTACTGTTTAGCCACAGTATTACTAATTTATGCTTTTAGCTACAGTATTGCTGATTTGAGCCTTTAGCTATTGTTCTGTTAATTTTAGCTTTAGCTACTCTTTGGTTAATTTGACTTATTTAGACTTATTTAGTTAAGTTTTAGTAATCTGTGCTCTTATCAGTGTTCTGCTGATTGAAAGCTTTGCTGCTGTTCTGCTAATTTGAGTTTACAGCTATATTTAGCTAATTTGTGATCTTAGATTTGAGCCGTTAGCTACTGTTTTGGACATTTTTGCATCTAGCTCATATTTTACTCATTCGTTCTTTTAGTCACAGTGTTACTAATTATAGTTTTTGTTTTGTTTTTTGGTCTATTGAGTTTTTAGCTACATTTTGCCAACTTGTGGTCTCATCAGTGTTTTGCTGATTTAAGCCTTTAGTTACTTCTTTGCTAGTTTGAGTCTTTAGCTATTTTGAGTCTTTAGCTATGGTTTTGCTG